GCCCTCTCGTGGTCGCATGTAGGCATTTGCAATGACTTCTTTTTTTTTTTTTTTTAACTTGTCTGGCACAGACAGGGAGGGCCTTTCCAGTGGAGCAAGGCCAGGGTCATTCAATTGTTGAGGCCCTCAGCATATGTAAAAATAACCAAAAATAAGTATAAAAAATAGAACATAACATCATGCATTTTAAAACTTTTTAGCCACAAAAAAATACAATGAAACATAATGCTGGTCTCTGAAATGAGAGAAAAAAATCAAATCAAAAATATTAATTTACAGTGTATGATTGAGTATGTAGTCTATTAATGGATTAGATTTAAAAATGTACAATAATTAGCTTCCAGGGAAGGCAGTTCATCTTTGTGATTGTGGCACAGCTATTTTCATTAGGAGACATTAATAAAACTCTATATTTGGTTCCTCTGCTAGCATAAGGCCTGGGTTAAGGGTTCCTTCTTTCCAACAATTCCTGGCCTCAGCTCCCAACCCCACCCTGCTTAGTCTTGTGAACACATAAATTGTCTCAAAAGACCACTATAAACTCAGAGAAAAAGACTTTTGTATTCATTGTAGCACAGAGTCTGCTCTGTTTCTTTGGTTCTGTGCTACTCTTCTGTGTTACTCTTGGTTCTGTGCTAACCATGGAAAATTAAAATTAAAATTAAGAGAGTGCTTTGGACAGGAAGTAAATACAGTAGGCAATGTCCTTAAGCTTCCACGTGTATAAGCATCACTTGAGGTATTCACTAAGAATAGCGATTCCTCAGGACTACAGACAAAGGTTCTGATTTAAAGGGCTGAGTCATGGTCAAGTAAAACTGAATTTTAACACTACAGGTTTTTTCTGGGTCCATTTGGCTAGAGGAATGATTCTTAAACCTGGCTGCGGAATCGACTGGGGAGCTTTAAAAATCTGATTCCTAGGATGAATCGTAGAGTACTTCAAATTTTTTTCAGGGTGAGTGCAGGTACCAAGTGCTGATTCTAACACACAGCCAATTTGAGAACCACTGGGCTAGAGCAGAGAAGCACAGCTGTCAGAGCTCAATCACCCTAAGTCTACAAGGTCAAGTTTATTGACATTGCAATGAGGGAGATTGCATGCCAAAGGAACAGTGGTATCTCACTAAACAAAGGCAAAGACAGAGTTATTTTAGGACATAGGAGTTGGATGGAGTTGAGTGTTTTGATGAGCTCAAAGGAAAATGGAGTTTGTGTAAATAGATCAACCTCATGTCTGCACCGCAAAGTGGACCCAGAGTCTTGTTTTCTTCGAAACATTAGTGTTGAGATAGATGTTCAATTTGTATCCAGAAAGCCTTTATCAGAAGTTCTGTATGTGGGCTATTGACTGAGATTGCTTTTCTGTGTCAAAGTGACTTAGATAAGAGAGGTATATTGCTTTTTTACTGATATGATTTCAAACAGCAAAGTTTCTGATAGTCTGTAATTTTTTAAAACAAATTTTCACAGTGTATAAAAAAAAGCAGCAGTAACTTAAAGAAGGGGACAATTTATAGCTGCAGTGTGTTTTGGGGAGAAATATTGAATCCCGTCAACTTTGCAGCTGGCTTCATCTGTGTCTGTTATTCCATTCTGATAAATGGCAGGGCAGATGTTTACAATCCAAGCTAAATTTTACCTTTTCAGACATAACATCTGCCTCCATAGAATTGCTTCCAGAAAGAAGATGGATCAGGAGAAGAGGATCCTAGCACATGAGCCTTTAGATGTTATTTATGCATTAATTCAGCAAAGACTCATTGAGTGTCTATTATGTGCTGTGTCTTGTGTGGAGTACTGCAAATTCAGTGATGAGCAAAATTCAGTCTCTGCCCTCAAGCAACTTGAGGTTGGAGAAAAACACAGATAAGTAGGCAATCACAGCAGAGCATAGAAGTGTTGTAACTAGTCTTAGGAACAGGTACCATAGACACATAATCCAGTTGAGTATTCAGGGAAATGGAAAAGGATGACTCATAGTTATGGAAGAAAGAGAACTGCTGGGGGTGGCTGGGGGTTGGGGCAAGGAGCCAGGGGTAGAAATTTGGAAGTAGAGGTAAAAGAATGTTAAAAACAGAATCATCTGGGCTTTAGTTCAGGCCCTACCACTGGGTGGTTATCACTGTAACTCTGAAATATAGTTTTTCTCATTTGTAAAGTAAGAATAACAAAAATAGGTGATACTAAAATTAATTATGGTATCGCTATGAAATAAGATTTATGTAGCTATTCAAACATTTAAAGATATTGGAAAATGCTCACAATTTAATAAAAGACAGTAATATTTTAAACTGTATATATAACACAGAAACAAAAGTGTGTAGGTTGCTATGGGAATATCAGTCAGAATCTCAATATGAAACATACTATACACTCACATTAAGAGTTTAGAGGAAGATTAGTCTCAAAACAGTGGGCAGCACTATAGGGGAACCACGAAGGATAGTGTAGCGACAGAGCTGTTACAACCACAGACCTGAAGCGGCAAGAGGAGGACCAGTTTCCAAAACTCAGAAGGGAGTTGCTGAGAGAGGAGAGCAATAGGTGAAAGACACAGCCTGGCCACAGTGAATTCGAAGGGAGGAAGAAAAGCCAACAGTCTAACTCACTCCCCTTCTTCCTCTCAGTCTCCTGCTGGGGCTCTATTACTCAAACCCAGCAGAAACCAGAGGCATTGCTGATGTGGTCTACCCAGGTCAGACCAGTAGGCAGAGAGCAGGGTGCACAAAGGTGGGGCATGGGTGTGACACGCCGAACACAAAAGGCACAAGCCCTGTATGTGACTGATTCCTTTGATTATCTAAGAGAGAGGAGGTGTTGAAGAGATGGTCCATTTTTTTCTTTATATACCTTCAAATTTTCTTACTTTTGCAATAATACAGGTATTTTTTTTCTAATTCTGGTGAAAAACTCTTGTCAGAGTATATATGTGAAGGAATGTGTTCCTGTGAAGGTATGTAAATGAGTGTGTGTGTGTGTAAGAGAGAGAAGGAGGTGAGAGTGGGGTGTGAGAGAGTGTGTTTGTGAGACTGTGTGTGTTTAAAGGTGTACAGATAAAGGGAGATGGTGTTCTTGCATATATGTATGTGGATAGCTGTAAATATGTATGTTATTGAGTATATGTGCATAAAAAGATGCATTCAAGAGGTGTGCGTGTGAGTTTGTAAAAGCATATGTGACAGTATACAAGTGGACCTGAGATTGTGTGTGTAAGGGATATATGTATGGGGTTGTATATGAATAAGTGTGTGCAAAAGGTGGGAGTGGGGTGTGCAGGAGGATGTGTTTGTGACAGAAGATGCGTGCATATGAGGACGCACAGGTGGATGTGAATCCAGCTCATTCGTGTGTGTAAAGGGTATATGTATATATGTTCAAATATTCTTGCTAGAAGTGTGTGGGAGGGGATGTGTGTGTAAGAGTGAGTGCTTATGGGGCTGTGAGGACATGGAGAAGGGATATAAGATGTGAGTGAGTGAAAAAGAGGTGAATGAGGGGATATGTATGAAGGGATTTCTATATATTAGTGTGTGTACAGATGAGCACATATGTGAGTGTATTTATATATGTAGAACTAGAAATATTTCCTGCCAGGAAGAAAGAAAAACTGCAAGAAAATACACCAAAATGTTTATAAGAGTAATCTCTAGGATTGAAATAAGAGGCAAATTTTGTCTTCTTTACTTTTTTGTTATTTCGTAGTCAGATAAACAATGAATATTTCAGTCTGTTTTCTTCATTTGAAGAACACATGAAAAATATTGTACATTTCTGGAAACATGTACCAAAAAAAATCATGACTAGTAAATGTTTCTTAATAGGAATGTTTTTTGAAAATTGAAATTCCCTTTTCCATTACATAACCAAATAGATATCTAAGTCAGCTCCTGGTTAATTTGCAGAAGGAAATCTTGACTTTAAATTTCAGAACCATATAAATGTTCAGTTTTTCATGTAATTTCATTAATTTCCAGGTATTCAATAATTGAAACCAATCGCTACTGCTGTTTGCAAGCCAGGGCTCTGGTAGTTCTGTGTTAATGAGTTGGTAAAACTATTGTCATGTCCCATTCACATCACCCTGTTTCAGGAAACTAAGGGGTTTTCCAAAGTCTCAGAGTTTATATACTAGGCATTAATAGGGAATATCAATGATAGAGGAGTTTTGGTAATTACTCTTTTTTCTTTCAGTTTTGTGGGTTTTTTCCTTTGTGTTTCTTCAACGATGAGCATATAGAGCTTATGTAATAAGGTTTCTGTCAAAAGATTTTAAAGCAGAGTTTTCACTCCTATGTAGGTGAAAGAGCCCTGAATTTTTTCACTGATACTTCATTTCCTCTGCGCTTGCCTCATTCCACTAATAATAAAATATGAGGTTTTCCCTATTCCAGACTACATTTTATTAAAAGAAAAGTTTACTGGCAGTTAATAGCTGAAGTGTTATTCTATTTTTAACTTACTTAGAGCTTGTCTGTTTTCTTAAAGCAATTTGCTATCATCAGCATCAAGTCTCTGCAGCCCAGTTTATTCGACCTTGTTACCTGTGGGCTCCACCCTATGCACCTCATGAGAATTCGTTGCTTGGAATCCTGGGTAACTATTTTACTTTTATGTAGATAGATAACAATGTGTTTTTATCTATATTGCTATTGTAAGTAATAATAAAAAGGAGTCTGTATATCATATCTTTCCTTTACACATAGAAAGCAACTTCAGCTATTAAACTGTGAACAGAGCAAACTCTATTAGAAATGCTATTAAGTTTGACTGAACCCGAGACAATCATGCCCGCAGAACATATGTCACTGAACTCTTGAAGAAGCACTCCAACCTAGGAATGCTTTTTACTGCTCCACCGCTTGTCTCAACAGCACACCTATCAAACGGATTCACTCCGAACAACATTTCTTGGAAACTGCTAGTAAAATGTTGACAGAAACGATCTTAAAATCAACGACGACCCTTAGTCTAGGGCAAAAGAAAAGAGCAACCCGGCTTTACTCCCCCGGATCGAACCACGGCTGTGGTTCGGTAAACACTCTGTTTTCCCACTTGAATCTGAGCTCTTCGGAAAGATCACTCCTGCCGATCTTGCGGAGATGACGAGCCAGCAGGCGAAGTTTATCAGTAGAATTCGGGAGAGATTTTTTCCAGAAGCCAAGAAATTCGTGGATCTGTTCTGTGAGGTCATCCGGGTTCTTCAGTCTGATGAGCTGAATGGTGCTGCGGCGAAGGGGGAGGGATGAGGAGAGAGCCGTGGCGTTTTCTTCCGAAAGCTCATCTGCCAGCCAGTAGAGCAAGTTTTCCCACAGGGTTTCTGTCAGGCATACGTGCAACAGTGGGCGTCAGGACTCTGTCCTGGAGGAGGTGTTCACCTAACCCTCCACACCTATGCACAGGAAATCTAAGGACTCTCCAGTTTGGCTTCTGAGCAGGAGAAAGATTTGGGACCACCCGGGGAGCCAGCTGAGAGCCTTGAATTTCTGGGGTCTTCTGAGGGAACCACCTAATTGCCGAGGGTTAGAAATGCTTCTCAAATTTTAACTTCCATAAGGCCTACGAAGGCTTATTTAAAATTGTTTTTAGCTTCTGCTCCAGATAGTTTAAGCAGAACTAGGGGCGGGGTAAAACAGCCTTTTTAGAAGCTCCAGGTAGTGCTGACCCTGGGGTCCCCAACCATACTTCGAGTAGCACTATATTAAAAGATATTCTTATGTTCAAAACATACTGCTCCTAATTAGTGCTAATCTGATATAAATTATATCGGCAGCTGGGCTGTCCTCACACACACCTCCAACTACAGACACACACAGACTCACCGAGATTCACTATGGAAAGAGTTGTGTGGGAGGTCTTTACACCAACACCTAACCCTGGCCTCTGGACTATTTAGAACCACAAATATCTCCTCTGGATACATCCCGTATGTTCAGCATACTTCTTCCCTTACCCTGTGACTCCCATCTACCACCTAAACTCATGATTCCATTTTTCTGTTATTATTTTTTTCAGTGTGTAACTCAGACCCAACACTTGTAGTGAATCCCTAAGCCCTACTCCTGTTTCCTTCCATATGTCAGCACGAGCCTGCATCGCCTTCTCCCACTCTGATGCTCGCTCCCATACCAGTTTCCCTGGTCTGGCGTGAATGAAGAATTCTACGTCTGCCACCTGTTACTCAGAGATTCCTGCCATGTGCCCCCTCACACAAATTGCCCCTGATTTTACGGAATTTACGCTTTTCCCTGAGGGCTACTCAGGACTTGGAGCCAACATTTCCTTGCTCTCCTTTGTCACTTTCAAACCAACATTCTGCTCCCATCATGCCGTGTATTCATGTTCATGTCCATACTACACAGGTAGCATCTTCCCCATCTACATCATCGATCTCTTGCCATCAACAGGTAGCATCAGTCGGCAACTCTGTTGATAATCAGTCACGCCACTGACCATGTGGTTCCTTAGTCTAGTCAACGTCAATGACCTGAGTGTGACTCCATATTAGAAACTGACTCTTGTGTCCAATCCTCAAGTTTCATCAACCAGAATTATTTCACTTCCATGGCCTCCATTTCTTAATATTACTGCCAATAATATTACTATCTGCTAAACTTCCACAGCCTCTGTTCCATTGCTCCTGCTTAATATGCTTCTTACCCCCATCACTACTAATACAGTGATTCCTTTGATGCCCACAGTCATTCAATCATCCCTACTGACTTTCACATACCTCTGTACCCATGCTGCTCCTAATGACCAGCTACATACATCGATGGTCTTGCATCCACCTGAAACTCTGTTGTCCTCTTCAGCTTTCATTGCTCTCAATCTGTCAATCCCCAAACCTCACCCTGCATTTAACTACTGGGCTGCCTGGGCTTATGACCTATGCGGCATGTAATTAATGACCTCCATGCTTTTTATACTATTTGAGCTCCTAGCAATTTACAAATCCATTAAAAAAAATCTTTTTCCTAAACTCAATTGAAAACTTTCTACAGCAATGACCCAAATCTCTTTTGCCATTCTTAAACCCCAGTCTCACCCTCAATCTGTTTCACTCAGTCAGTGTCTGAATCCTACTTTACCCAAAGCCATTTGACCTGTTCTCATAACCTTGTTTTCATTTTGAAACCATTTTCTTACAAAATCTCACTCCTCCATGTTTACCAGATTCCATCCCTCACTGTGTTTTTCATAAAGTAATATCCCTTTACACCTGTTCCTTCATCTCCTCCTCACCACAGGGTCTTGCCATGCTTCTCACAAACACTCTCAAGCCTCTTTCTTTGCTTCTGCTACTCTTTCAAGGTACTGAGCTATTTCTCCACTTCCCTTTACCATAAAAATCTTTTAATGCCTAATGGAACCTTGATACCTCGAGCTTATCACTATCAACTCCCTCCTTAAACTTTTACTTTCAGGGTTCTGTTCCCTCTTTTAAAATTCTATTGAAACCTTTCTTTACCATTTCCCTAGAGCCCTCCTAATTACTACTTACAACTGATTTTCGATCTGCATCTTCTCTGAAGCCACAAGGCATTTTTATTCCTTCCCTTGGGTTCCATGGCCTACCCACATTCTCCAATTCCCTCTCCTGCCACATACCTCTTTTTTCTCCTTTGTTGACTCTCCCTGATAATGCTGAATTACTGCTTTCTCTCTCAGGCCTCTTCTATTTGGGTCCTCTCCCCTCAATGAATTAATCAACTCTCATTGCCTCACCTATTCATTTCCTCTTTGTGAAATAGCCTAGATCTACTTTATGTTCATCTGTGGCTTCGTTTTCCTAAATCCTGCTAGAACATTTGCAATATTCATCTCCTAGTTATCTTTACCAGTATAGACCACAGCCATTTCAAACTCCATATTTCTCAAATCAAAATCAACTTTGACCTTTCTCTCTTTCCACCACCTGATCCTTCACTCTGTTCACTTTCCTGATAAATGTGACCACTCAGCCGAGTAAGCTACAACATGTAATATTCAAAGCCTGTTTCTTAACTCATGTACCCAGTCCTATTGGTTCTAACTCTAAACATGTGTCAGGTATTGCCCCCAATTTCCAGCCTTACTGACTCAATCCTAATTGTGACCTACCCCTCTTTTCTGGAGTATTGCATGAACCGGGGTCTAACTCATATCCACACTATCCATTTTCACTGACTTCAGTGTTCCACACAACTAATAAAGAGAAGTTTTCAGTCTAATCTGATCTCATTTGTTCCTGTTTATAAACACTCGTAAACTATTGTCTAAATGTCTAAACTTAGCATTTAAAACTTTTTATAGTTTTATGTTGCTCTGATCTTATCAACCATCATCCTTCCTGCAGCAGCTGAGATGGCATTGGTCGAGAAACAGCACATTGTATAACAGACTAGGACTTCTGGGTACACATGGGAACGTTTGGAGAAGCCTGTGCTGTCTGGTGGTGTAACGACAGTAGTGAGAATGCTTTTATTTCAACATCAAATTATTCAAAACTTAACAAACTTGCTGGGCTTTCATCTACTGTTATTATTTTGGTTTGGTTTGGTTTGGTTTGGTTTGGTTTGGTTTGGTTTGGTTTGGGGTTTTTTGGAGGGGGTGTTGGCTTTGGTGTTTTGTGTTTCTGTGTCACCTGCTCTCTCTTTGAAAATAGTTTTATATCTCCAAGAGGGTATATAACACTAAGATTTATTCCCATCCTACTCTCTTCTAATGTAATTCAGTAAAACCTGCAGATATTCTATATAAATTCATAAAGATAACCCCTGAATGGAAAGCCGTGTCATCAGTGGTGGGACTGACACCATAGCAAAACAAACTCACTTATATCTTTTGAAGACCAATAAAGTGTCACAGTAGTAACTATTTACATCACAAAAGAGTTACTTTTAAGGCTAAAATAGAATAAATGCATCAAATTCTACCCTGAAATAGCTATGTCATTATTATGTAATTGATTTATTCATAACCACAATCAAATATCACAGGCTTCTTTTGTGTTTTCCTACCAGTATACCTCTATTTAAAGTGTATTGCCCTCAAATGTAAATTTGAACTGACCATACTTTAAGATTTACAATTTAATAGCCAACACTTCAAAAAAACTTTAGTGGCCTATTTACCAAAGTAAGTAGTTACAAATTATCTTAGTAAAATAATACGTAGTAGGGTTCATACTTCTTGTAGATTTTAACAAAATTTTAATTATGTCTACATTCAAGTATGTTTTGGTCTATTTGGGCATGACTTCCAAAGGAAAACTCATTTATTAGGCTGATAAACCTAATGATTGTTTAATTGCAAAGTTATCTATTCTGTTTTATAAAAAGATTTACATAAAATATAAAATAAAAAATATAAGAGAAAAAAAAGCGCTGCTATAATTTCTCACCTAGAGGATCTGTAGAAATTCTTTTGGTACTCTGTGGACGGTTGATTAATTTTTCATGCTATTGAGAGAAAGGGACACAAAGTAAGTAGAAGAAATCATTAATTTGTGAACAAGTTACAAACAAAAACTCATCCAGACCTCATCCCTGTTTGAAATAATTCCTAAATTGCATACTTTGCAAAATTGGATTGCATATTCGTGCGTGCATGCTCAGCAATTGCTTTCCTAAGACAAGGCAAAATATATTAACCCAAATCTTCTAGAAAATTTAAATTTAAGAATACACATTTAAATATTATGATAGCAGTCACATTATCTGTTGGTAAACATTTTTTCCAGCTAAAATGTAAACCTATTATAACCAGCAAACCTCGAACAAGCTGCTTCCTTGCTACAGATGCCGTATTTGGGAAAGCCCTCACGGAGCAGGGCCCTGCTTCAACATTAAGCGCAGGCCTAGAACCTCATGGGCACCAAAACAACAGTCTTTGTGAATAAGTGAATGAATCGATGTGCATACATGATGCTGAGAATAATCAAGTCTTTGAGCAGATATTATTCTAAAACCAGTATTTAATCAAGAAGGAATCAAATATATCGTCATAACTTTTTTACACTGCAGAATGATTTGTTATCGGTTAATATGGGATCATTGGAAACAACACAGGAGATAAAGTAAAAACATCTGGGTTTGGAAACCTGTTCAGTGCTCTGGAAAATTTATTTATCTCCTCCATCTCAGCTCTGATATTTGATTTATTAAACATAAACACACATCTTATAAAACCTAATACACAAATGTTCATAACAGCCTTACTGTAATACCCCCAAACTGAAAATAATTAAAATTTTTGCAGTTGGTGAGCAAAATATGATACATCCACACCATGAGAAATTATTCAGTAATAAAAAGGATAAATCATTAATACATGCAACAACTTGCATGGACCTCAGGGGATTATGCTGAGTGAAAAGTTCCAGTTTCAAAAAGTCATATATTCTAGGATTCCATTTATATCACATTCTTGAAATTACAGAATTATAAAGATGTAGAACAGATTAGTGATTGCGCCTATAGAAAGGTAGCACAAGGGAGATTTTTGTGGTGATAGGATAACTCTGTATCTTGAGTGCAGTGGTTACACAAATCTACACATGTGATAAAATGGCATAGAACTCTACACACACATTGTATCAATGTCAACTTTCTGGTTTTAATATTATATAACAGTTATAAAAGATGTAACCACTGAGGAAAACTGGATGAAGATGACATCAGACCTCTCTGTAATATTTTTGCAACTTCCTGTGAATCTATAATTATTTCAAAGTAATTTTAAAAACTACTTCATGGTGATGATATGAGAAGAATGTGAGGTCTCTGTGCTAATATATAGCATGTTACCCAGTTCATAATGAGCACTCAAAACAATTTGATTAAATTTGAATATCATATTTGTAGGAATTGTTATCATTGATATCAAATAAACATGTATATAGAACTTCCATTAAGAAGTTTTAACAGGAGACGATGAACAACATAAAAATAATATAAGTTCTAATATAATAATACTGTAGCACTATAAAATAAGTGCATAGAATTTTCAATACATCAACTATGTGCTTATTCCTCTAAAAAAATTGAGAGAAATACCAATTTAAATAGTGCAGCAGATTCTATCATTCCCATCGAAGGGCATATGTACTGGACTGAGCCTGGGACAAGAGAATACATTGCATTTTTTCTTTTCTTTGTATAAATACCTCCCATCCCCCAGTTATTCTTTCTCCAGAGATGAGTCATAGCATCTCGACACATTGAGGGCGATTCTAGTGTTTAAATATACGTATTTTTCACATGCATAAAAGTTCAAGTCAGGTCCTTCATGTGACTACACAGCCATAGGAGCAGTGGATTGTGGCGGCAGCAGCACAGGAAATTCCTGGCCCTTCTAGACTTCCAGGCACTGTGTTGTTCTCCTACAGGGCCTCCTTATTGGAGATTTTCAATAATCTCTTCCTTCCCCCACTTTTTTTTTCTTTTATTGCATGATTTTTGTCTGTGCACAATTTTTGCGTTTCACAGTACCTTTTAAATCTCACTGATGATTAGGGTCAGTTCTAAGCCAACCAAGGAACCCTTTGCTTGCCCTATGTAGTGTCACCTCCCACAGAGTCCCTGTGTCTACACGTGGTTTCCTGGATGCCTTCCTTGTTGGCACTGGCTCTAATTATTCTCTACTTTCCTCTCTTTCCTTCTATTAAATGGCGCTATTCTGTTGTAACATCTCAGGTTCTACTATTTGCTAAAGAAAGGTTTGTTATATCTCTCAGGTAACCTGACTTAAATCTTTCCACAATTTTACACACATTTTGAAGTGCTAAGTGGAAATAATGACATAAAGTTATGATATCTTTTAATCCTATAGTATATTTTAATCCTATAACATATTTTAAATTATAACTTGGGTGCTCACTTATTTCAAGGGCACCCACAATAAAACTATTGCTATTTGTCAGATATAGAAATAATAAGTGATGGAATTTTCCTCTTTAATTCCTACTTACCTTCCATTTCTTTGATGTCTCCTGCAGAACCAGTTGTAATAACATGCTGAGGACTTTCTGATGCTTGAAGCACCATCTAATATGGATGCCTGATGGCATTACAGCTAAACGTCAGTGTAATACAACCAACAGTAAAAAAAAAAAATGTCATGCTGATGTTATTATTTTTTATCATTTACCCTAAGGCACTTATGCATGAAGAGAATTTCACAAGTAATTATAATATTGTACGGCAAGAACTCCATGCAGCCTTAACCCTCACATTCTTCCCACTTCCACACACTTATTGTAGATTTTTCTGGTAAATGAGTCATTTATTTTGCAGTTAGAAGATATAGAAGTGAAAGTGGTATGAATAATAATACATCAAGGAAGTACATGTACTCATTATATTTCTGTGTACCTTTAGCATGGGTTTTACCATAAGCCTTTTAGATACCATGACTAAATACCGGTTTTCACTGTTTACTCTGTATTTATTTTACATAGAAGCCTCTTCAACTAAGTAATAGTTGCCATTTGCTTAAGCTTAGTTCATTTATTGCATCATAATAGTAAACTGTATATTCTCAATCTTTATAATGTACAACTCCTAGGGAAGTATTAATGGTTTTACGTTGTAAATAAGATAGGATATTGATCAAAGAAGCAATCTGGTACAAAAAATTAACGTTAGCATAAAAACTGTGTGCTGCAATTATGGGTCCAACTAACATAACCACAGATCAAATAAAAGCTTGTATCAGTACTGAATGAGGAAAAACTGGCCTACACTTCGGGTTTCCATCAATGCATGTAAGAAGCTGGATGTTGCCTCTCTGTCCTAACGAGTGAAAAGTTGAACTGAAAAATCAGCAACTCTCCTTAGATCTGTAAGAGAAGCAAGGTCACAGGGCAAACCTCCACTCGAAATTGAAAGGTAAATACAGAATGACAACTTTCTGAGAGTAAACCTAGAAGCACAAACCACTGGGGAACTAGGGCCAGGGAAAGGAAACCTGAGCTATACTTGACAAATTACTGGAGGGTTAATGCGGACAAGTCTGAGGGTTAAAAAACTCCAGGAGGACCCAGTCAAGAGTGCTCCTACTCTTTTGTGAATTTTACCTCCAGGAGCTCAACTAAGTTTCATAATGAATATCAGAAAAATAACATTGTACTTCCAGCAAGCAGAGGTGAAAAGGAACCATTTTGGAATACACCAGAGCATTCTGTTCTTCTTAACGAGTTGTGCTCTCAGAAGAAACTATCTAACCAAAGCCTAACTCATAGGGTTTTATTAGCACCTAACTGACCTTGAGGAAGGGACATACCCAACTCCAGTCCCCTTTAACCACCCTGTCCCCCTGAGTGGGGACTTAGGGAGAGGACTGAGAATCACATGTGAAATTCACAGTCCAGAAGTATAGTCTCACTAAAGACTGAGACCTAATCACTGTGCTATAGAACCCTTTCCCTCTGCCACACCTCTCCACCACACCACTAAAAGCTTATTTACGGAAGTTTCTTTTACCTGGTACATCATGTTTGGCTATTAAGAACAAAATTACAAGATATACTAAAAGGCAAAAAATAAAACAAAACAAAAAACAACAACAACAAACCATGTTTAAAGAGACAGAGCAAGCATCAGAACCAGACTCAGACATGGCAGGGATGTTAGAATTATCAGACTAGGAATTTTTTAAAACTATGATGAATATGCTAAGGGTACTAAATAGAAAAAGTAAACAGCATACAAGAACAGGTAGACAATGTAAGCAGAAAGATGGAAATTCTAAGACGTACAAAGAAATGCTAGATATCAAAAACATTGTAACAGATATGAAGAATGCCTTTGATGGGATTATTAGTAGATAGACAAGCCTGAGGAAAGAATTTCTGAGCTTGAGGATATCTCAGTGGAAACCCCAAATCTGAAAAGCAAAGAGTTTTTTTTTTTAAAAAAAAAAGAGAGAAAAACAGAATATCCAAGAATTGTGGAACAACTACATATATATAATAGAAATTCTGGGAGATGAAAGAGAGAAACAAGAAAAATATTTGAAATACTAATGAGTGAGAATTTCCCCAAATTAATGTCACACACCAAATTGCAGACACAGGAAGGTGAGAAAATACCAAGCAGGATAAATGTCAAGGATTGAGCTAGACGTGTAACTATATTATTTCATTTCAAACCCCTAAAGTAGTTTGAAGTATAGTATTCTCGATTTCATAGATGTACCTTCTCCAATTTTGAAATTCAGGTCTGTCTAAAGCCCTAACTTAAACCACAAATAAAATTGCCTCCAGAAAATATCAGCTACTATTTTTTTGTTGTTATTTACCGTGTACTAGTAATCACTCTAACAACTGAAAGTATATTACATAATCTTGGAATAGCCTATAACTTTACGAGGTAGTTGTTATACCTACTTTACAAATGAAAAAACTGAGATTTAAAGAGATAAGATAACTTGACACAAAACATGCAGTAATGACAGATAT